TATTATTATTATTATTATTATTATTATTATTATTATTATTATTATTACCATATATCCCAAGACATCTCAGATACACATTTGAGTGCAGCACATCTTCATGAAGCTTACACCGTCTTGTTCACAGCATGTGCGGAGCCTGAAAACAAAGCTCTTGCTGTAAGAAGCCTTAAAACAACTCTTGGTCACAATTATTTACATAAGATTTTATTTATTTTGTTTATTTATTTTTAGTTGGCTGGATTTTAGGCCTGTCTTACAAGCAAAAAACTTGTCCTTAGCAGGATTATTTTTCACAGCTCTACACAGATAGGCCTTCTTTTTTTCCCCTCAGTTAAAGAATGTTAAACTTTAGGGGGGAAAAAACTATAACTCATGTCTAACATCTAGTGTAACTAAGCTCAGCATTATTATCTTGTGGCTTTTTAAATGTGGAAGTTTGGACGGTTTTAACATGTTTCTTTGATGGTTTTAGGATCAGTCTTCATCTTTTTTGCTTGGGTGCAGTGTACCTTCACCTATATTATTAGATATTTAATCCTCCAGCATATTTGAACTATATATAATGGTTTTACTGAGCTCAAGATTGTTGTAGTTCTTTTGAATGTTTTTGTGGTTTTGATTCTTAACATGTTCACACCAATCTGCAATCTTTGTTTGCGTGTAGACTACAGTACTTGCACTATAGGTAAACACATAGAGATTTAATCCTCCTGCATATTTGCTGGAATGTTGTATTTAATGTTTAAATAAACATTTTATACTGAACTAGTATGATTTGTATCATATTTAGGCATCCTAAAAAAGTTTAAGTTGAGAGCTTATAAGTACAACTCAAAGCATGAGTTTTGACGCATTTGAGACATAAGTTACCTGAAAGTTGAAATTTTAGTTAGTTGAATTTTAAGTGTTTAAAAAACTCTAAATTTGATGTTATCTCAAAATAAAATGATACATTATCTGCGCAAAAGACGATTTGTTGTCTTAAATGTATCTAGTTTCCCTAAACTTGACAGTTTTAGTTTGACTCAAAACGCAAAAATCTATTGCAGCCGGTTACCTAGAATGTTTGTGGTTTTTATAGGATATTACAGGGTATTACAACTGGTCAAAATGTGGAACCCCGACCCTTGAACACAACCAGTGGCAAAACCAATCTCATGTACCTGATGGTTTCTGCATGTATCCTCCTGAATATGGTGCATCAGACCCTTATTATGGACCTTTCAGCTGGTCAGAATATGGAACACGGACCTCCGAGTAAAACCTGTGGCAAAGCCAATCTCAGGTACTTCATACGTTCTGCATATATCCTTCTGAATATGGTACAACAGATTCTATTCAAGAATAGTCCAACTGGTCAGGATATGGAACCCCAACCCTTGAACACAAACTGTGGCAAAACCAGTCCAAGGTACTTGATGGTTTCTGCATGTATCCTTCTGAATACGGTACAGCAGACCGTTATTATAGACCTTACAACTGGTCAGAAGATGAAACGCCAATCACTGAATAGGACCTTCCGAAGTTTCTGTTTATTCTGAGGAGCTTCAGCAATAAAATGAGAAATTACCAAAATTACTTGATTTCTCCTCCAGAAGGAAAAGCCCTGTCTGAAAAGGAAGAACTCACCAGTGCTCTGACACCAGAAGCAGAAGATTACCTTGTGAAAATAGAAGAGCAACAAGAATCCTCCTATTGTGTCATGCAAGAAGCAGAAAATTACCATGTGAAATTTGAAGAACGGCAATAATCCACCGGTAGCGTAACAGGAGAAGAAGAGAGTGACCTTGGGGAAAAGGAAAAATCCCTGGTCTCCAAAGATTCTAGCACTCAGTCAGGAAACACTCAAACAGCAGACGAGTAACCCAGGGAAACAAAGGCTCCCCTGTCCTCCCAAACAAAGAACCAGTTCCAGCGACACAGACCAGGTAGAGCCCATAAGAGACCTTGGTTAAGACCTGCGTCCCACCCTGCCTACAAGATCTGGAACATCAGCTGGATACCCTGATGTCCAAACTGTGGAAAGAGAAACATTTCCTTTCACAGGAAAATGATAGAAGACTTGTAGCAGAGGAGGACCATTACAAGTACGAGCTGGAGGAGATCAACCAGTTTAGGAGTGTCAGCTCAGAAAACATTGTGAGGAAGAGCTCAGCAGATCTAAAGCACTGCACCACTCCAAATCACCTGAAGAGATGGAGAAATTAAAGACAGAACTGGAGGAAAAGACTGCCTTGAATGCTGAGCTGTTCTGTAACTCCTGGAGTTGAGGAGTTCAAGTATCTCAGGGTCTTGTTTGAGTATGAGGGTAGGGAGCATGAGATCAATAGGTGGATCGGTGCGGCATCTGCAGTAATGCAGGCACTGTATCGGTCTGTCGTGACTCTCGATAGAGAGCTGAGCTTAAAAGCAAAGCTCTCGACTTAATCGATCTACTTTACCACCCTCATCCATGGACAGGAACTTTGGGTAGTGACCGAAACGAAATCCTGCATACAAGCAGCTACAATGAGTTCTCCGCAGGGTGGCTGGGCTCCCGCTTAGAGATGGGGTGAGAAGCTTGGTAGGGTGAAAACACAAACTTGAAGAGGGGAGCTTGCAGGAAACGCACCAACCTTAACTAGACTGTGGCCTCAAGTGAAAAGAGAAAGCAGATGTTGAGAACTAAACCCTAGCTTAGTGTTGGCAGGTGGTCCAATTAAGAACTTCAGTCACAAGGTCAAGTTATCAGTTGGATTTTTATTTTAAAAATCACTCAAGCAGAGTTGTCGGCTGCCACCGCCGTCTGGTTGTCGGCTGCCACCGCCGTCTGGTTGTCGGCTGCCACCGCCGTCTGGTTGTCGGCTGCAGGAACATTCTTTTCCTTGAGCTGTTTCAGTCCGGTCAGAAGTAACTTTATTCTCATGTTGCCTTCTGATGCCTTTGCTTCCACTTCATTGGATTCCAGTTGCACTGAAAGAAACACATTTTACAACATTCAGTACATCCTAAAGTGCAGCACAAACCCACCTCTAATCAACACTAGTTTTATTTGTATGATCCTTCACTTTATCAGGAATTCATTTGGAAGCTACAAGGGGGCCAGGTGGTTTCACTTCCTCACCTTCTTTAACATGCTTCACCAACATGGAATCCATTGACTGAACAAGTCCAAGGCTGCTCTTCAGAGAGTCATCGTAAGACATTCCTGTAACAGAACAGAGTTAATGTCAGAGTTCCTCCAAAGAGACCAATGACTGCCTTTGTTTCACTCACCATTTTGACTCATCCAGTGTGTTGGAGCACTTGCTGCTCTTTTGACAATTGGCAAAGATGAGCCTGTGGAAAAAACAACCCCAATAAGTTTGTGCTTGACATTTGCTATAGTCTTCACATTGGTACAAAACAATAACTGCATGAGGAAACCAAAATTACAAACCTTGCTTTAACCATACTGTCACCACACATAATACCAGGACCTGAACAGCTCCCATTGTTCCAGTAACTACTGGAAAATGGCCCTGAAAGAGTTTTTAAACAGCTCATCATGCCAGCTCACAGCTGGTCCTCATCAGGTCTGATTGGCTTTCCCCTCATGCAGGATTCAATGAAGCTCCAAAATTCAGAAACCGACAAAATTTAACATAATTCTTTCTTCAGTGAAATGAACAGAAAACCATTTGGTGAAAGAAAAATGGTTTTCTCCATTTGAAGAAAGAAAACAACTTAAAATTGAATGAGTGATAAAGTAATGTTTTTCTTTATTTTTCTGGATAAAGTTTCAAATTCTGATTTTCAGGGAATTTTTGTGACAAAATGTTCATATCAGTCAGATTATCAAAATCTTATCTATTTTACCTGGAGCTTTTATCTGTGTGAAATTAATCTGAATACAACAAAGATAGAATTACACAACACTAAAATATTCCTGCGTTTTATTGCTACAACCAAAGCATATTACCGTTTGAATCATCAAAAGCCTTTCAACAAGCTACATAACAGGACTACCAATATATCTAATTAGGATTTTTGTCAATTGTTATGGACATCGGTTAATATGTAAAAAGGGTAACACTGTGTGTGACGCATTCTGATTCATTCTCAATTGCTAAGACCCATTTCTCAAAAGTAGATCTCAATTTTGCTTAATCTGAACATGAAACCAAATGGACGAGCTGCATTCATAAAACCTCAGACTCTTGCAAAACCAAACTTTCACCTCAAAATATTTCAGTCTGTG